ACAAATTAATGACTTTAATAACAACAAATGCAGTGAATGTGATTGTCAAGACAGAGCGATAATGCATTTATTTCCTCCATCCTTACAATCTCCATGCTTCTGTGGCTCATTTTGCGTGCAGAATAATCGTGAAGTTTTCCCGTCCTGGATGAGTTTGACAGCGATGGCTTCATGATGCTGTGATTTCGAGCTGCTGTGCTGTAAGAGACGGTGAAATGGCGAGTGTCCGTTGCATATGATGTCCTGCAAAACAGTGAGATTCAGAAAGGAGGTGCCCACTGACTTGAGCTTTCTGTGCGTCTAAGCATAAAGTAGTGGCGTACATCAAATGTTGTTTTATGGGGCATAAAATAATATGCAATGGAGTAAAACGTGGTCATGTATTAGGTTTCCAATTCAAATACCAGACATGACAAAGCACATTTTGTAGTCAAAATTTACACACTGTTATAAAGAAAAAGAAAACAAACAAAAAAAACAATAAATGGACCTGCACACATGGTGTATATTATTATTATTATTTTTATTTTTTAAACCCTACATTTAGTGTAAATATTTTATAAAAAAAATTCCTTTGAATTATAATTCGAATCAATTGTAATTTTCACATATAATACAGTATCAATGATATAGTATTACACTTTTGGTAAAAACTGTTGCCATTTTAATTTTAGTTTGCCTTTTTAGTCATTTTGTTGTGCATTTTTATTCTTTTTTATAAATGTCTATTTAGTTTTTAATTTTTTTGTTTAATTATTTTTTCGATGTTTTAGTACTTACATTTAAACTAAAGAAATATGAGAAATGTAATAGATTAAATGTTTTTTATATTTTATTTCAGTTTATGTTTATTTATGGATAATTGCTGTTCAATGACTTTTCCAGGTTTTTTATGACCGTACGAACCCTAATGTGATGATCGGTGCGGTTATCTAAATCAGACAAAAATACAGGTGCGGGCGGTTGGCGGGTGGATAATTTATTTGAAGCTGCGGATTCGGGTGACGTTTTAGCTCATCCGCGCATCACTAATATATACACATATATACATATACACATATATACACATATATACATACACATATATATATACATACACATATACACATACACATACACATATATATACACATACATATACACATACATACATATATATATATATATATAGTCCTATTTGTATGTGTGCACTGGAAAATTTATTTACCAAGGAAAATTCCTTGTGTGTGGCAATCTTTCTCATTCTGATTCTAATGATAGATTATAAATAATGATAAATAATAAATAATTGTGAAAAGCAATATAATAATAATATAAATAAATATTTAACTGGAGGCGACTAACCAAATAGTGTTTTTCAAAATAACAAATATCTGCGTCGATCGTAAACTGCATAACATGTAATTATATTGCTGTAACTTTACCATGTAATGGATAGTTGCTGAACACGCCCACACTGGGCCTGTAGCAGCTGCGCTCGCGCGGTTTATAATGTTGTGCACCGCAGCGCTATTGTTCTGCTATCTGCTTTAAACGTCACAATCAAGTGTCCGAACACACACAGATCATACATCACACTGAACACACGCACAAAGCCACATCTATTCATACAACTTATCAAACAGGGACCCGCACCAGCCGCTGGAGTTGGTGTGTTTCGGATGGAGAGTTGAGGATAAGAGCAGTTTATAGACGCATCCGAACACTGTCTGCGATCAAACCATCCTCATCTGCAAGGAAACGCCGTGTAACGTTAACCTACCCCGTTCATTTCAGTCCACTCTCTCTCTCTCCGAGCCATTTGTTTTGAGCCGATGGTCCAGTCCAGTGTTTTCTCCTCTACACTTCTGTCCTTCTAAACGGCGTGAAACGAGGACATTCACAAACAGCTCCGTGTTCACGACGGAAAACAACAAGAAACCTTCGAGCTGTTTTGATTAATACTCCTACATCCGAGCTAGTTTCTACAGTTTCACGCCGCCATGTTTGCACTTTTGTCTCATTCACGGGAGGAAACCATGTGAGCATTTAAATAACCAATAATGTTTGGAAGTTGTGTTCACATTGGCCGGAAGATGGGGCTGTTATGCGACTCACTCTTCCTGTTTTAGTATTTTTTATTTTTATTTTTTTGTGAGGAAATAGTTTTTTTTTCTTCCTTCTTTTTTTCCCCCTTTATTCAGTTCCATCACACAAAAGCACAATACAAAAAGGGAAACGTTGCACATCTCAAAGCATGCAAAACAGAACAACAGCAACAACAAAAACGCAAAATTAATACAAACATATATATATATATACATATAAATACTTATTTTGTGATCTCATATTAGAAAGGGTTTCAAAGTATATTTTAAGATCAGTGTTACAAAATGTAATATATGATGGTTTCTTTTGAATTACTTTTGACTTATGTATATAAAACTGTGCTAAGATAATTAACAGATTAATAATATAAATATGTTTATCAGAAAAAGATGGGTTTTGATAAAGTAAAATATCACGAGGTTCTAAATTAAGGGCTTTGTTTATTTTTTTTGTTATGTCTATTTTAAAGTCAACCCAAAATGAAATAGAAAAAGGGTAATAGAAAAATAAATGTTCAATATCTTCAACAGATACATTACAAAAGGTACATTTATCACAAACACTATGAATATATCTGCTAACAACTGCATTTACAGGATAATATCTGTGAATAATTTTGTAAAGTACTTCTTTTACTTTATTAGAAATTACATATTTATATGGTAACATCCAAATGCTGCGCCAAGATATACAATGAGGTTTAAGCCATTTTGATTTACATGGACATTAAGGGATTCCCTGTTTTAGTATTACTTAAAAAAAATAAAAAATAAATAAAATAGCTATCGAAAAGCTGATTTGGTATTGCACGGTAGTACTTTTTCATGTTTTTATTTTAATTCTATGCGTTATTTTTATTTGCTTATTTGGTTTTAACAGCTTGTTAATAATATAAATCATTTTTTCTTAATAATAAAAACATATTAAAGGACCTTACAAAAGGACTAATAATTAATTTATGGTGTACAAAGACATTTTGAAGTGTTGGCCTTGAGTAGGCTACTTGAGTTTATTTTCCTCAAATTTTTTTTACCTCACTTTATTTACATTTTTCCGTATAAAGAAAATGCAGCATAGAATTGCAAAACATATACATATACTTGTATGACCTCCATGTATGTCTCTATTTAATAAAAGGGTCTATACAATAAATAGCAACAGAACAAAGTGAATACTGAAGAAAGTATTTCACATGATGTAAGAAAAAAAGGGAGGAGAACATAAACTAACAATAGAGGATAATATATGATATACAACAGAACAACAACATAAATCAAAACGCAACAACCACGCATACAAGAAATATATATATATATATATATATATATATATATACATAGCAGTGAGTGCACCCCTCACATTTAGCAAAGTGTCATTTCTTCAGTGTTGTCACATGAAAAGATATAATAAAATATTTACAAAAATGTGAGATACTGTATATATATATATATATATATATATATATAATACATCCTCAAAATAAATTCGAAGAGCTTTTCAAAATGTAATAGTTTTTACAACTTTAAGGTGTTTTCTTTCATTTCTGTAGGAGTTTTAAGGTCAGTATTACAAAATACAATTATTTTTTTGTGATTCTATAGGAGCAGAAAGTAGAAGCCTTGCAAAATAACAATAAAAAATCAATATAATATATACCACATATAATAAATAATAAAATAATATAAAACATAACATTAGCTTTTTAAATATTAATTATTTGTCATAAAAAAATCATAAAGGTCCTTAATAAATATCTTAAAAGGCTGAATTGAAAATTCAAAAACAAAACCTCAATGCTTTATAGACATATTTTATTTTACATGCTAACACAGGTATATTATGTCCATATAACACATAACATTTTGAACTGTTGACGTTTTATACTTTTCACAAGTTTAGGGTGCTTTCTTCATCTCTCAAAGAGTTTTGAGGACAATATAAAAAATACAATACACAAAGATTTTTTAACGATGTTCACATTTTGTGGATTTAATTGGTTGAAATAATTCATAGATTTAAATGTTCATCTTCTGATATATTGGTTGTTTTCAACCTTTGTCAAAAAACAGAGGTCAGACTCTTCCTTTGACCTTACCAGTATGGCTTTAGCAATGTCATTTTGACGTGTCATTGGAGGAAACTATTTTTACCGCGTCACTTCCTGAATGTGAGTAAGGGAGAGGTCACGTGACAAGGCTTCGGCGCTCTCCTTCTCCGACTACTTTTGATTTAAAAATATAATTAAGCATCTCGATTCATATGTACGGGATCCAGTGCTTTCTGAAAGATGGTCGTTGGTCGGCTCTCGACCGATGCTCCGCGACGCGTCACGCGCGTCTCATCGGGAACATTTTTGGACACGAAATCGACTGTTTTGTGGGCTGCAGCGTCACGTGACCCGCACGCGCCTCGGGTAAAGATGGCGCCCGGCGGTTAGAAAACAAGCAGCGCGAGCAGCGGCGACATCCTGCACTCCGCCGCGACGTTTGGGATCCATAGAAACCGAGTGGAGTAGGTGTTTTCCTCACTGGACATCAGCTGTCAGACGGCGGGTTTGCTCTGTTTTTTGTCACGCTCACAGTTTTGGTCGGTTTAGGGCCGCCGTGCGAAAGAATACCGAGTTTTATTGCGTTTCGCGTGAATGCAGAGGGAGGCTGCTAACCTGAGGCGAGCCGTTAGCGCACTTTTGACAAAGTCACTGACAGGAATTATTCGTTCAAATGTCACTTTTTGGCACTTATTCTGCTTGTCAGGGTCCTTTGGGTGTATCTAAACCCGGGTATAGCCTGTGTAAAGAGCGTTTTGACTCCTCTTTTGATATTTAAAGTTGATGAAACGAATCGTCAGGAAAATTAGCTAGCAACTAACGTTACCGTCACCGAGACTGAGGTGTGTTTCAACATATTTTTGACTAGTGAGACTTTTTGTTTATGTTAAAGCGTATTTATATTATACGCTAATGTTATAATGTGTCTTTAAACCACGATCTGTTTCTCGGGGAAGCATTTTAACGTCTCCGCTGAATATTTAGGACTCGAGAGCTGCACGTTTAGTGCACCGGCTGTCTTATGTTGTGTATTCACAACCACCAGATTATACGACAGGTTATCATCGCGGTTTAATTTAAACATTTTGATCATTTCGGAAACCATTAGAGTGTTCTTTTGCTTTTAGTCTGGTTTCTGAACGTGTAAGCTGATTGATATTAAGATCCAGCATCAACAGCAGACCAGGAAGTATCTTGTTGGATCAGTTTTGTCAAACACGTGTGGAGGTGGATGTTGTGGTGAGCCGTTAGCAGCATTAGTTTAGCACGTTGTTGCCCTTATGAATGCATTTCTTGACCAATTAGTGTTGTTTAGGTTTATATAATATGCAGTGTTCAGCAAAGGTCTAACATTAGTATCTTCCAACAGCATGTGATGGGAAAGATGTGATCTTTAGTTGGGGTTTTTGTCATTGTCTATAATAATGATGTGTGTAGTTTAAGAGGACGTTTAATTATGTCTGATGTTAGATAAAAAAAAAAAAGAAAAAAGTATGCTTTGCAAAGCAGAGTCTCTTTATGATTATTAATATTATGTTTTTCTCTGTCTTTTAGACAATGGATCCTGGACAAGATTTGCTTCTAGCTGCTCTTAGTGAAAGTGGAATCTGCCCTAATGATCTATTTGATGTTGATCCTCAGGACACACTTCCACTCCCTGCTTCACAACAGGTCATTTAAAACACATACATGCAACATGGTTTACTCGTTTTCACGCAGTTTAGTTTTTTTCCCCCTTAATTCAAAACCAAGTACTGTATCTGTGTACTATTAACACAGATTTCACAAATCCATTTGTTTACGATATCAAATAGTTTGGATATGTATCAGGTACAGTGCAGGTGAATTTTTCGTAAGGAATAAATCCCTTAACTAAAGCTTTTAACTATACAGTGAACCCTGACAGTTGGTACGATAATGTTAAAGGTTAAAATGAACGTCCAAACTATTACATTTAATTGCAGTTTAGTTTCAGATACATAATTAACATCAAATAAAAACTGAGTTGTATACAGAGATTTCAACTGCACATAAGGCAGTTTTTATATACACTTCTTAATTATATAAAAATAGTTTTACCTCAATTTGTTGTTGAAATATAAACATTTGAACTTGTTTTACTGGCAGATATATTCAAACCTACATTAAATATTGAAGAACATATAACGATCGTCATATTTTGCATATATTTAGCAAAATGCTCCACTCTTGAGTTATTTTTTTTTAGCTAAGTAATGAGCCATGGACATTGAATGGCTTTCCTGAGGTAAATGTAGCTTTATGTGACACTTTTCCGTGGTTGAAACACTGGATTGAGTGATTACATATCATCTGATGATCATTCATGTATATTTTGTGCCATAACTAGTAGTAAAGAGAAAGAGATGATCGGTTCACATGTTTCTTGAACTGAGGCGCTACAGCGATCTGTTACAACATATTAAAAAGCCCCAAAACCACATTTATTGTTTGAGTTTTGTGATAAAATTAACATAATTTAAAAGCTGAGATATCAAAAGCAACAAAGCACAAATCGTATTGAGCTTGCAGGATGTGAGGCTCGCTACAAATAACGTTTAGTGAAGTGTTGTTCACGCAACAATAGAAAACAGCAGAGATTGGGATTTAAGAATCAATATTGGTTCATCAAAATGATAGGCAACCCAGACCTACTAAAAACAAAACTCAAAATTAAAAGCAATTTAAAAGCATTTTTTCTCAAATTAGCACATTTGATTAACAAGTGATAGAGTCGTTCTTTTCCTTTTCAGTCAGTCTCATTAAATGCACTTGACATCGGTCTCCGTAATGAAGCTTCTGGAGTTGTCAGGGTTGAACCTGCAGTTCCACCTACTCCTACAGTCACAATCAGGGTAAGTGTTGCATGTAGCATCACTAACAGCTAGGGCTGTGCAAAAAATCGAATGCGATTTTCATGCGCATCTCGTCAGTAAAGCCGCTCCTGTGATTAGTAGTAAATCTCCAGCACGTACTTTCAGATGGAGCGGCATTTACTACACAGAGCCGTAGTTTTTTTTTTAAAGTGACGTGACGTGACATGTGGCCAAGTATGGTGACCCATACTCGGAATTAGTGCTCTGCATTTACCCATCCAAAGTGCACACACACAGCAGTGAACACACACACACCGTGAACACACACCCGGAGCAGTGGGCAGCCATTTATGCTGCGGCGCCCGGGGAGCAGTTGGGGGTTCGGTGCCTTGCTCAAGGGCACCTCAGTCGTGGTATTGAAGGTGGGAGAGAGCGCTGTACATTCGCTCCCCCCACCTACAATCCCTGCGAGAGTGAGTCCGACTCTCTAACCATTAGGCCACGACTTCCCCAGCTTGTTCACTGACAAGCTACACAAAATCGCGTTCAAAATCGCAGGCAATTCATTGCTGATTTTCGTTCGATTCGATTTTTTGCACAGCCCTACTAACAGCCTAAAATCTGGTTCAGATTGCAGCTCATTCTGGTTTTTATTGATGTATTAAGTTTTTATTAATATTTTAAATGTTGTTTTTATTTTCCATTTTAATTTTTAGAAATTCTTGTCATTTTTAGTTTTTGTAAGTATGTAGTTTTTATAAATTTTTAAGTTTAAATGTTAGTTATTTTGTAGTACACAAGTTAAACTAAAATTAAAAATGTTGCCTTGGCAACTGGCTAAAATAAGTTTTTGTTTTTAAATTTTAAGTTAATGTTAATTGATTTTATTTAAAGTAAGGAAATGTTTGTTTTATGGTTTTAGTTGTAGTTTGCTTAAGTTAACTATAATAACCCTTCCAAGAGCTGCCCATTTAGGCTGAGAGGCCTATATGTTATAAGGCAACCAACCAGAGTTTTTGTTTTTAGTTGCCGTTTAGGACTGAGTTTCTGTATTATTTTATACCCAATATACAGATTTTTCCACCGGAAATGTGTCTGAAAATAAAGCTCAATATACAGTTCTGCTCACTAACTTGCAACTGAGTGAATCAAACAGAACTGAATGTTTTTTTGAACGACAACAAAGAAAAACACTTTGCATTAGGCTTGCTGTGATATTGACGGTGTTACTGGTGTTAAACCGCAACACCGGTTACAACACTGCCACCCACCGTCTTTTTGATTTTTTTTTTTATAGTAATAAAAATCTTTTTGTTCAGTTAGAGAACAGACACTACTGTTAAAAACCGAACGCGGCTCCTCAATGCAGCGTGCCAAACAACAGTCGCATCACAGATCAGCAGCAGGAGTCAGATTTCATTTATCACGTGAGAGTGAGTCGAGCTGACTGGCAAGAAGAGTGAGGTGAGAAAGACAAGACGATGGCGGAAGATTTAGTTTTGACACAAAATGCAAAAGCGCCTAGCTGTTTGGCAATATTTTAGATTTTGAAAAGACAGTTGACTTATGCTTTTGTTTATCTAAGGTGATTTTAACATTCGTTTTGTTTATTTGGTTCCACAGCAGTGTTAATTTCGTTGACGAAAAATTTTCATCATAATGTTCGTCAACGACATTTTTTTCACTGATGACAACGAGACGATAACGAACTAAAATTCTTTTTGAATGACATCCATTGCAGCTGTGCATTCGGTTTTAAAGGGACAGCAGCCTAATTTAGTTGTTATTGTCCGAGTTATTGATGTTAATCAAGCAACGAAAGAAAGACAGAAAATCACTCACTGCTCTTGACTGAAAAACTTTAGTAGCCCTAAAGATTAATCTAAATTTATTTACAGAAATAAATATGTCTGCTTGAAAGAATAAAGAATATGGTAAACATGTTGCTATAAAGAATGCATAGTTAGCCTATATAACCATTGGCATTTCATTAAAAACAAGACCATGTTCTTGTTCTTTATGAGAAGTGGTTTTATTAATTTTAACAAAGGCATGTTATGATATTTAGTCGACTAAAACTAGACTAAAACTAAAAACAATTCAGGTGACTAAAATATGACTAAAACTAAATGACATTTTAGTCAAAAGACTATGACTAAAACTAAATCAAAATTTGCTGTCAAAATTAACACTGTTCCACAGTGTTAGCTGATTTTACTTTATTTAAACTGTAATTTATTTATTTTATTTATCAATGTGTATGCTGTGCATCCAAGCTTTCTTATTCGTTTAGCAAATAAACATTCTATGATTCTTATTTATTTGGTTCCACAGTGTTTGTTGATTTTTACTTTAAATTATTTATTTTATATTAGGCCTATTGCATGGTGTATTTTTATTCGGTTTGCTAACAAAAGTTTTGTTTAATCTAAGTGAAAAAGTACCGTTTTGTTGTATACATTCAAACAATTGTTGCTGAATTGACACTAATAAAGTGAAAGTAAAATGCGCACGGGCATTTACAAGCTATTTAAAAGTGAAGGAAAGCGAGGAAAAGAGGGAAAACCCCAACGAAACCCACTCCCCCGGTGATACCGGTATTACTGGTGTTGTCACATGTCAATTAACCAGTGGGAAAATGTCCTCACCGTCACAACCCTAGTTTGCATTTATTTCTGGAAGTTGCATCCAATCAGGTTGGAACTAGCCATTTCTTGCCTTTTATTCTGTGCAATATTATGCAGACAGTGAGTGAGTGAACTATAGGCGGTCGGCCTGTTTGAAGCTACTGTTTGTTTTAATATTTGGCTGTAAAGCTCAGAATTACACATTGATAGTATATTCTGTGTCGTCTTTGCAGGAGAAGCCTCAGCCCTCAACAACCACCTTCGTTTTAAATCAACTGAATCAGTTGCCATCGCTGGGTACAATTGTAGTGACCAAACCATCAGCCGGGACCACCTCCAGGCAGACCATCACAGTAACCAAGGTGGTACACACAAGTTCGACAGCACAACGGAGCTCTTTGTCCTCTCCCGCCGTTTGCACTGTGGTCCCACCGAATAATGAGCAGATCAGATTGAAGGACCTTCTCAGAACCAGCAGCTTGAAGACAAGCAGCCTTGGAGAGCTTATGAAGTTGAAGCCCCCACCTGACATAGCGCGACCTGTTGCTACGGCAACAGCCACAGGCACAAGTGAGTGCTGGCAGACGTGCTGGACCTCGAGCGATCATAGATGGTTTTTTGCTTGTAAGGGTCTGTCGATGCAGCTCTCGGCTTTGTGGCACTTTGCAGATCTAATGCTGAGTGCCAGTTTTCAAGTGCTGCCTCCAGCTGTCAAAACGAAACCAACATGGGCTCAAACCACCTTTGGAGGCGTTAAAGGGTTAGTTCACCCAAAAATGTAAATTAGCCCATAAATTACTCACCCTCAAGGGCTGTGCAATATATCGAATTTATTGAAATATTGCAAATGTACATATCGCAATATGCATATCGCTACAGCTTGCAATATTTGGGGCCATGAACAAAAGACAGAGAAAATCACTCACTGCTCTTACCTAAATAACGTTTGTAGCTTAAATAAGAATCAGTGCATATTGAATTCAAAGAG